AGTTTGGTGTTGTTTTCTTGGTTTGATGGCTTTTGTGATTTCATTTTTGGAGTAGCCATTTGCCTGTAGGGCCCAATTCAGATGGTTGAGTTCAGTGCTGAGAAACTGAGCTTCACAGTTCCACTTTGCATGGTCTATCAGTGTTTTGATTATGCCTCTTTTTTACTGTAGGTGGTGGTTGGATTTTTTGTGTAGGTACCAGTCTGTGTGGGTGGGTTTTCTGTAGACGTTATGTCCCAATAGGAGGTCAGTTTTGTGTATGACCATGACATCTAAGAAAGGGAGTTAGCCCTCTATTTTTTTTTCATGATTAATTGTATATTTAGGTGGATACTGTTGAGATAGTTTAGAAATTCTTCCAATTTTTCTTCACCGTGGCTCTGAATTGCAAAGGTGTCATCCACATATTGGAACCAGACTGTGGGTGCGAAGGGTGCCAAAGCCAGAACGTGTTTTTCAAAATGTTCTGTGTAGAGGTTCACTATAACTGGGCTGAGGGGGCTCCCCATGGCCACTCCATCTGTCTGTTGATAGAAATAATTATCCCACTGAAAGTAGCTGGTCGTTAGACAGTGTTGGAAAAGGGCCTGGGTCTCTTCTGGAAAGATCTGTTGGATGAGTGTCAGCGTGTTCTTTATCAGTACCTTGGTGAATAGGGATACTAAGTCAAAGTTGATCAGTCTGTCACTGGGTTGAGTTTTAGGGTGGTGATCTTGTTTATGAAATGTCCTGAGTCTTTGATGTAGGATGAGGTTTGTCCAATGTGGGTCTGTAGGAGGATGGCTAGATATTTTGCTAATTCGTATGTCAGGGAGCCAATGGCATTCGTTTTTTCACCAACACGCTTAAACTTATGGCGTTTTTTATATATAGCTAGATATTTTGCTAATTCGTATGTCAGGAAGCCAATGGCATTCATTTTTTCACCAACACGCTTAAACTTATGGGGCTTTTTAATATATATGTACAGAATGGCGCAGCGGAATCTTGCCTTGAATAGAGTTATTTATTTACAAAAACACAATTCACAATTCATGTGAACCAATTATTTATTTCTCAAGGAATATATATTTACATAGTCCCAAAGTACAACTGCTTCTCATTGCTTGTTCCAGTTGCAATTACAGTAAGTTAGTTACTTGACCTCTCTGGAATTTCAGAGCTTATAAATCTCTCAACAGTATTTAGCTGTTTTCTCACCTACAAAGAAACATCCATGCTGACTCCTTTTACAACATCAGGCAGTCATTCTGGCCGTATATTCTTCTTTCTGTTGTTGCTTTTCTTACTAGCTGAAAGCCTTCCTTCTTTTATACTGAGCTTACTAAGAGATGCTCGGCATTTCTGAAGGTCAATTGCCTCATTAATTTCACCTACCATGTTTCCTTCTAGTAGCTTTACTCAGCAGAAACGCTCTTTGTAAAATACAAGACCAACACGTCAATTGCCTCATTAATTTCACCTACCATCTTTCCTTCCAGTAGGTTTACTCATCAGAAACGCTCTTTGTAAAATACAACACCAACATAACTGTATACTCTGTTAGATAGAGTTTATATTATTTTTTATAGCTGAGGCCAACAATGATAACCTCTCATGTGTCTGTTCCTCAGCACAGGGACTGCTAAGACTGCACTGGGCCCAAGGGTTCTTCCAAAACTACCTCAGAAAGGTAAGGGACCTTTAAAGGGTATGTGTGTATACGGAAATTGCTGAGCCTAGCCGTTGGACCATCTCCCCTAGAATCCAGCACAGTGGTACCTCGATTTACGAATGTCTCCACTTGTGAACAGTTTGAGTTACGAACAGCTCAGTTCGCAAAATGTTGCCTCGACTTGCGAACGGAGCCTCAACTTACGAACCAAAAAACCCCCACAAAAAACCTTTCCTGCTCTTTTTTTGACCTAAGTTCACCTTAGGTCAAAAGAAGAAAAAAATAAAAAAATTGCCCCCTAGTGGTAGAGTATGGATTAACCTACTTTGCATTAGTTCCTATGGGAACTAATGCCTCTACCTATGATCAGCACCTTGACATACGAACAAAAACAGCAGGTACAGATTAAATGGTTTTCAATGCATTCCTGTGGGAAATGGTGCTCCGACTTATGAACTTTTTGACATATAAATGCTGTTCCAATATGGATTAAGTTTGTAAGTCGAGGTACCATTGTACTTTCCACTGGCAGGATCTCTGAAATCTCGCACGCTGGTCTTCCTCCATCTCCTAACGACCGAGAGATGAGAAGACCTGGCGGGGGGAATGGAAAAATTGGGGGGGGGGGGGAGAAGGGAGGATTTAAATGCTAAACATAGTGAAAAACACAACAGCTACAGTGCACTCATTTATTGTAGGCTGTAACAGGAACGTGATGCAGTGACCATCATCTCTGAGGTGGACATGTGGCAACCACAGAATGGGAGTGGAAAGACAGAGAAAATGAGGCTTACTCTGAAATTCTTCTCATGGTGTTTTCTTTCTGTTTCAGTGGCCCTAAGAAAAATAGAAACCATTCATCTCCCTTCAGTCGACAAGTCCAGTCAACATTCAGAAATATTCCAGAAGTCAGCTTCACTTTCTATTGATCTGCCCCAGAAACCACCGTCTGCAGATCTGTCCCCTAAGCCTCAGCCTCTGGAACTGCCCCAGAAACCGGGGTCTGGAGAGTTATCCCCTAAGCCTCATTCTCAGCCTCTGGAGCTGCCCCAGAAACCTCAAACTGGAGATTTACCCCCAAAGCCAGGAGAACTACCACCAAAACCTCAACTAGGAGACCTGCCACCAAAACCCCAACTCGCAGACTTACCTCCAAAGCCACAAATTAAAGACCTGCCTCCCAAGCCTCAGTTGGCGGATGCTTTGGCTAAAATTCCAAGTGGGGAGGTATCCCTAAAGCCTCAGGCGTCAGAGTTGAATCAGAAATCCCACTCCGTGGATCTTTCTCCAAAGGTGCAACCTAAAGAGGCCGTCCAAGACTCCAATGATGTCACCCATGTATTGCCAGAGACCCCAGTGCCACTTCCTAGAAAAATAAATGTGGTAGGTGGACTTTTTCTACTTTGCATATCTGTTAACATGGCTATGAGATTATGAACTCTATGATGGTTGTATGAATTTTTAAAAAAAACTTGGGGAAGTTTGGTGCATATAGCACCATAGTTTGTGGAAATTAGTTTTGGGGATGTATCCTTGAAAGATTTTATGAGAAATAGGTCTAAATGTTGTTGCCATGGTCTTCTAACCCATGTTACACGCACTTTACAGATATTGGAAGATAAAACAATACCTGCCTGCAGGCTTACAGGGTAATACACAGAATACAAAAGGAAAAGGGAACAGAGAGGGCAAAAGGAAACTAGTTCTGGAGCAGCTGTTCCTTCTCTGGCCAGTGGATGGCCAGCAAAGCGTGTGGGTCCCTTCCCCTCTGGCTGCAGCAGGTGTATGACCTTGCAGAGGCTGTTGGTCTCAGTGGATGTGCCTCTGCCCCATCATTAGCTGTTCAGCTCCAAGACCACTGTCAGAGTTAGAAGATATTTAAAGTTAAAGGCTCCAGCGTTGATGGGCGGGAGGAAGGATTTTTTTCCCCCAACGGCTCAGGTGCTTTAATCAAAAGTGATAATTCTTTTAAAATCGTATTTCAAGAGTAATAACTGCAAAGCTTCACATTTTACTATTCAAAGTATAGATTAAGCAGTTACGTTTTTATAATGGATTTTTCTGGGAGTCCTTAACCTGTTTCACATTTACTGGCCAGATTGCCCTTACAATGTTGAATAGACCATTATCTAGTTCTGTCCTCATACTGCAGATAGATGCCGAGATAGGAGTCATCTTGAATACATAACTAGACCAAACATGAACCAGAATGCCTTTTCAAAAATAACGATTAATAATTGTAGTTCACTCGGAGTAAAGAATTAGGGCAAGGTTGAGCTGGACATAACATATATGGTAGCATCTTGGTATTCTCAGTTTCTCCATGACTGCTACATAAATCATTGGCTTGTGGTATTGGTGGCAGGGCTTGACTGCATCATTGTGTCATAACATGAGGCACGTTTTAAGGAATGTGAGGCAGTCGACAGTGAAGGACTAGATGCCTCTTTGAATTTTTTTGGTAAAACGGCATATATATGCTTTTCCTTCTTCCTAAGCTGTCAGCTAGACAAGATTTCCAGCAGAACCAGCCCATTGTCCACTTCAGGAACAGATCCAAAGAGATGGATTTATTGAGTAGACTTGGTTTTTTGTATGAGCTTATTGTTATCAAAAACTAAAATGTTGAGTGTGTGTGGTGTTACTCTTGGTACCCTAAAGCATGAATTCTAATTGATCAGTAAAAGCAGAGAAACTGAGAAAAGGTTGCTCTGAAGATATAAACATACAACTAACTTGCAGGCATTAGTAGGATGGTGCTGAGGGTATCTGCATCTCTACATCCCGAGCAAAGCAGACTTACGTCCTGCTGCATCATGAATTATATTGGTATGGGCAAGGAAGAGTCCTGCCTCAAAAAAAATATTTATTTAAAATATTTTTACACTGCATTTCTTCTTAAAACGACCCAAGGTAGCTTACAGCAATTAAAAGGCCATATTTAAAATCTAAAAACAGTAAGTATATAAATACAAAAAAGGATTAAACAAGTATTCTATTGAAAAACAGTGAATAAAATTAATATTGAAAACACATTTGAAAACAGCAGGGCACAATAATCAAATTTTTTTTTAAAAAAACCCTCTCAGGTTGCTAGTTCACTAGGGAAAATCCTGACTTTCATTGTTGTAAGCCACCTTGGGTTCTTTTCAAAGAGAAAGCTGGGGTAAAAATATTTAAAATAAATGAAATAATTAATAAATAAATAAGCCAGAGGCTCATTCCTCATGTCTTGTAAGAGACCAGCTGCCTTGAGCTTTCCTTCACAATAAGCCCTGTTTTCATTCATGCTTCATTATAAGAACTTTGGAACTTGAAAGAAAGGATCTATAAGTTCACTTGTTCTCCTCTTCTCTTCTTTTTGTTTGTTTGTTTGTTTTGTTCTGCCCTTTGGACTGTAACCAGCAGTCAACAATAGTCTTTTAAACCCTTGATCTTATGTAGATTGTTCTGAATACCTTTGCAGTTGCAAAGTGGTGAAAGGGGAAGAGGGAGCATGTAGGTACACAACTCGATCCTTTTCAAGGAAACCATGTTTTTTTTGGGGGGGGGGACCAGAATCACTGGGTCTGAACAAAGCTAAGAAGGACTAGGAAGACTGATCCTGCTATTTTAGTGTGTGTAGCCCCTTGTAGCGTGTATACATTACTGAAACAGTGATGTCTATGTTGGCTTGGGCATGTCGTGAGAATGGCTGGTGGTCAGATTCCAAAAGATCTCCTGTATAGAGAATGAGTGCAGGGAAAGCACCCCAGAGGGAGACCACAGCTGCGATACAAGGAGATCTGCAAGCAGGATCTGAAGGCCTTAGGAATGGACCTCAACGGATGGGAAACCCTGACATTGGAGCATTCAGCCTGGAGGCAGGCGGTGCAACATGGCCGCTCCCAATTTGAAGAGACCCTTGCTCAGGAGGCCGAGGCAAAGAAGCAGACCTGAAACCAGCCAAATCAGGGACCTGGACAGGGGACAGATTGTATTTGTCTTCAGTGTGGAAGGGACTGTCACTCCCAAATTGGCCTTGTCAGCCACACTAGACACTGTTCCAAGACCTCTGTTCAGAGCACCTTACCATAGTCTCTCAAGACTGAATGATACCTACACATAGTGTGTGTATCCACACGCACAAATTCACCTGGTAGCATGTAGATATATACTGGAAACAGAATTTGAGTAATTAGATATGCTCCACCACCGAACATCACAATGTTCTATGGCATTCTGAAGATGGCTCTGTAATCACATTCAGCCAAATGCAGTCAGCAAGTTCCCATAAGGACTCTAATAAGATCATGTATCTGATAAATGGAATCCTGCAACTGCATCTGCTAGATGTAGTTACAGTCCTCATCCGATCTTTGCACTCAGCTTATAAAAGTGTAATTTCTTTCTGAGTTCCTGATGATACCATGCAAATGTACTCACTTCTCCATCCCCAGGTTCAGCTTGCCATGAGCAAGTGCAGACCAGCATAGGCCTTGTGTGTATGTGTCATTCCTTTCTCATGTCTCTCTGTATCCTTCTGTACAGCAAGCCTACTGCTGCTTCTGTCATTCGCTTTACCAATGCCATTGCTTTACCAATATGATGTAGGGAGCATCTGTTACTGCACTGAGTTTTAGAAAAACATGGCCGAGGTTCTTAAGCAAATAAATTAAATAAGCTTGAGATATACCCAGTTTTAGAAGATACCAATTTAGTTTTTAAAAACTGAAATAAGGTGTATGTGAGCCACAATCAACTATCCTACTGTGCTTTGAGGCTTCCAGTTAAAAATATAGAAAAACATTGATTTTTCAGCTTTAACTAAAATGTGCATACATGCTTTTTAGGGCAAGAACAAAGTTAGGCGAGTGAAGACAATCTATGATTGCCAAGCAGATAACGATGATGAACTTACATTTGTGGAAGGTGAAGTTATTATTGTAACAGGTGAAGAGGACCAAGAGTGGTGGGTATGTATTTTTACTGTTTTAAAGAATGAAATGAATCTCCATAGCACTATGATCAAAGCATTGCCCTAATGCTTCACTATACGGTATACCAATATAGTTTTGGTTTGTGCTATTTAATATTGCTTAACTTTGCATGTCGTATTCTGTATTTTAAAGATCAAATGTAGCTTTGTTAAATCAGCACACTTTTGCCCCCCTGACTTCAGTTGGAGGTTGATTAGAAGACCTGTTCCTACGTCAGCTGTGTAATTTTATTTATTTATTATTTCCAGGTGTGGAGAGCTGCTCCTTACATCCTTCCTTGTTAGTAAGGGCTATACAGACTGCATATGATGGGACTGGAAGTGCAGTGTGCATAGTTAGCTACAGCTCTCCAAGGTTTCAAATAGGTCTTCTGCAGCCACAACTTAATAGATTTACTTAGTCATAAACCCTTCCAGTGCCAATTTGTGGACAATTGAAATCTTTTTCAATTGAAAAAGCATGATCCCTCAACAGTTCCTATGTAGTGATCCTGAAGACATGAGGCATGTCTACAGGAATATTGAAGGTTACTACTCTTATTTCTTGGAGGAACAACAGTATAGATGAAAATGTTTATTGTGGACCATTTTAATTATACTAATTGTCATTCTGGGAAATCTTCAATAAGCAAGGAAATCACCATTTTTGAAATTTAAATATGCTCTGCTGCAAACCATATCTTAAGCTGCACATACAGTGAACCTATCAAAAAGAGAAGGGCCAAAAAGAATATGAAGTATCCCTGGAATTGTTGTTGCCCTCTCTAGGGGCTGCTTACTCCACTCAGTGATTGCCCAAAATCACACAAACCCCTCTGATAGGTTTATTTTTACATGTTTATCCAAAGACAATGCACATCTCTAAAAAATTTCTTACAAATTATGTGTGGCAGTGACATACATATAAAACATTTCTGTAAACATACACACGATTTGAATAACGAAAACAATGTGATTCTCTGTGTTCTTCACATTCAGAAACAGCCAAGTTTATCTTCTGTTCCTGATTACAAAGCACTGTGTCTCAAAAGTTATATTTCAAGACTGAGAGAGTCATGAAGTTGTTCTGTTTAACTGTGGAATAATGGCTGATCCATATGCCCTTGGTTTTCTTAGCCAGGGAATTGCATTTTTAAAAATTGAGCCTTCACATTGCAATAGTATTTTTGTCTGTCCACTTTTTGACTGTTGCTGCCCCTTTGTGTTTTGCATTTTGCTGGATTTGGCTTGCGGTTAACTTTTGTGTAACCACTGTGCCAAACATTGCCTGGAATCCTGCAGCACAGCTTTATATCATACAATCGTGATGACATGTTATGGCCGTTTCATGGGAGATGCCTTGGGATTCTGGGAATCTTTAGGGGTCCTTTTCGTTCTGGAAAAAACTTTGGGAGCCAGAGCAAGGGAAAGGACTCTTTTAACACCCCAAAATTGCTGCCACTAGTACTGGTGCCATTGTGAAGACAGGCAGCAACTTTTTTTGGACATTAAAGAGATCACTTCTCATCGTGCAGCTCCCAGGCCAAAAAAAGAGCCCTTAGGATACCAGCACCTGATGAAGGCGGATAGGAAACTTTTAATTTTGCCAGAATGGCCACAGTTGATGCCATCACTGCAGTTGCCTGGTATAAACATTGTGCAACATGGTTACAGTCATTATGTAGTTGTTATCTTAACTAAGATAGTGTGGGCATTATAGTTACCCACATGTAGTAGTATTGAACTCAGACTCACTTCAATATGACAAGCAGGTTAATGGTAGAAGTTATAAAATGGAAGATACCAAAGTGTAAAACTGTTTGCCAGCCACCACATAGTGTGCATTGTGGAAGCAACCAAAGCCTTTTTGAGCACAACAGTCGCAACATGTATACTAAAGAAGCTATCTTTGTTGTTCTTTGCAGATTGGCCACATTGAAGGAAAGCCCGAAAGAAAAGGGGTTTTCCCAGTATCATTTGTCCACATTTTGTCAGACTAAAATCAAATTGGAAACTTGAGCATTGCACATTCTTCTTGCGAAACGGGCTTTTAGCACGAAGCAACCAGCTGCTGCATCCTTGTAATTCTGTGCACAAATGTGGATATGTATATGTATAGTTGCTGTTAACAGAATGAGAAATTATAGTTCATCCTATGAGGTGACTTTTACTAGTCTTGTAAATAGATCGTGTTACTCTGCCTTTGCCAGTATTACGGTAGCCTTGGGACCTAGCACGCCTTATTGGGTTTGCTCAAGCCATCCTTGGCATCAGGCACTTACATCTCTGTAGTCCTATGCAGGTGTTTGCCTGCTCACCCGTGGGGCTAAATTGGGGACAAAGAAAATCAGTAGGCACGTAAGTCTTTGTCCACCCCAGAAGTCAGCTTGTACCCAGCAGCACTGGAAAATACCTCTGTAACCATGTTCCTTTGAGTGGGGTTACAACTGCCACAATCAGGAATCCCAGTGAGGGCAGGTTCCCAATTAGAGATGGGCACAAACCGGGCTTCAGCGGTTTGGCCCAGGTCTGGGGGGGCGCCCACACAGGTGTTCCATGGGCTTCCCTCCCCGCCTCCTGTGCACATTCACCACCTCTTACGGGCAGCAGCATGCATCCCTCCCCTAGCTGCTCCGGTGATCAGGTACTCATTGACAGCAGCGCCTTTTTTTCTCTTCCCTTTTTTCCCAGTGGCTACCCACTCAGAGGACGAGCTGTGGGCTTCCCTTGGCAGCCATTGGAGGAGGTGAACTGCCCCCCATGAGTGGGCGAACCAGTAAAGGAGGTGGGGGAGTGAAGGAGGTGTCATCCGTGCAGGTGCCATGCTGAACTGGGCCGAACCACCGAAGCCCAGTTCACGCCCGTCTCCATTCCCAACCCCAGAAGCTCTGTAACAGCATTTAACTGAACATGGTTACAGAGCCCTCTTCAAATTTTCATGCTGAATGTGAGAAGGTCTGTAACACCACTGGTGGCATGCAGACATGCAAGGTCAGGGCTTATGTGTCTGTCTGCATCCCCACCTCCACTAAGCAAGCACCTGCGTAGGACTTGTCTGTGTGCATCAGCTACCCGTGCTGTAGGTATTACTTGTTCAATCCTGTTTAACTGTACAACTGTTACCATTCCTAATAAACCAGTATTCTTAAATAGATAACTAGCAGAGAGTTAGCGTTTTTCAATATAGATGCCTTTGGCCCAGTTTACAGCTACAGCTATAAAGACATAATGATCTGTGAATTCCACTTCCTTGGTATTTGTTTTGAAAAATGTGTTCCATGGTACACATTGAGCAAAAGAGATATTCACTGACACTACAGAAACGGAGTAATAATTTGTGGTATGTGATCTGCATTTTCGTGTTATATAATGTAGTCTCGGTTTCATCCTGGGGTGTTTACCTCAGGGCTCGACTGCACTGCAAAATATCCCACTGTTTAAGTCCCAGTGGTCACTGGTCTATTTCGATCCGTTTTCTTTCAAAGAGCATGAACGTCATCACAAGTAAGTCCAGCCTCTTTAAATGGGCATTCATTACATATGAAGCGACTACATTTTCGTGGCAATTCCACACATGCTGCTTTGCTCCATTCTGGCACGTGAAGTTTGCCTACATCCGTCCGAAAGGGCCGTGGCAGTTGTGTCATGCGTGATATTGATTGTGGTTTCTTCAGTGGGTGTAGTGTGGCAGTACAGCAAGAACCTCCTCCACTTGTGGAAGTTTCACCACCACGTCTTTTTAATGGTCCGGTCAAATGTAGCTCTGGATCGCATAAATGCTGCCTTCTTAATGGTTTTGCTAATCTTTTCTATGGAGGGAAGGTAGCAGCTACAGCCTTGGTGTCAGCCAGGAAGGTGTTTATATAGTTTTCTGCTTGGGAATTTTTTTTTATTTTTTTATTTTTATTTTATTAGATTTATTCCCCACCCATCTAGACAGATAGTCTACTCTGAGCGGCATAACAAAGTTTAAAAACAATAAAACCAATAACATACGGAAGGAATTTTTTTTTTCAGAGAAGACCCACATACCCACCCATCTAGACAGATAGTCTGCTCTGAGCGGCATAGCAAAGTTTAAAAACAATATAACCAATAACATATGGAAGGGATTTTTTTTTTTCAGAGAAGACCCACATGCTCTTTGCGGGTAATCTGCCCTAGGCTGCATGCTGCTGGTAGGTAGGCACTGAGCAGTAATCCTGAAGAACAGGCTTTTGCGCTCGGTGGAAGGAAAAGAGTAGATCAGAATGATTTTCTCTCCCCGGTGCCCCTCTACGCAGCCTTTTTTTTTTCTTTATAAGAAGCCACCGTCAAATTTAAAGGCATCCTTGTCTTCCCCCAGCACCATCTTTTCTCACAAGAATCTGCTACAGAAGAAAAGAAACTTAGGCTATTGCTGAGGTAAACCTCTAAGCAGTATTACCAGAAGAATTCCTACCCTCCATGTAGTTTGCCTACTCAGCCTTTTCCTTTTGCTCCCCATTCCTGCTTGGTCTCCTTCTGTAGAGCAGTGAACACGGAGAAGGAAAGGAAGAAATGTTTCATTTCCAAAAAAAACACAAGTTCAAATCAGTCCCTCTGAGGTTTTCACTTTCAACATTTTACAAAGCTGTACTCAGTAAATATTAATTTTTAATTTCAGTTATTTTATTTGGATGCCGCATTTCTCCAAACAGGGGACCCAAAGCGGCTCACAACATAAAAATTCACATTATTAAAAACATAGTAAGTCAAATATTAAAAACAATATACGATTTAAAATAAAATTAAAAGATAAATACATGAAAACATGGAAAAGATTAAAATTATCTGCTAAAATGGGGTTCAGGGATTCAGTTGTAATTGTTAAAAGCCTGCCTGAAGAGATGGGTCTTTAGCTTTTTTTTCAGAAGGATAAAAGGGAAGGGGCCATCCTGATCTCCCGAAGGAGAGCATTCCATAGCCTGGGAGCTGCCACCGAGAAGGCCCTCCTCTCCCGTGTTCCCATCAGATGTCCTTGCGCTGACAATGGGACCGAGAGGAAGGTCTCCTCTGCTATTCTTAATCGCCGAGAAGGCACTTATAGGGAGATATGGTCCTTCAGGTAGCCTGGACCCAAGCTGTATAGGGCTTTAGAGGTAATGACCAGTACTTTGAATTGGGCCCAGAAACGGACTGGTAGCCAGTGCAGTTCTTGTAACAAGTGTGTTATAGGCTCCCTGTAGCTGGCCTCAGTCAGTAGTCTGGCTGCAGAGTTTTGCACCAGCTGAAGTTTCCAAACAGTCTTCAAAGGCAGCCTCACATAGAGCGTGTTACAGTAATCCAAACGAGATGAAAGTAAGGCATGTTCCACTGTAGCCAAATCTGACATCTCAAAGGACAGGCACAGCTGGCGCACTAGCTTTAGCTATGCAAATGCACTCCTGGCCACCGCTGACACCTGGCCATCCAAGATTAGGGATGAATCCAGGAGTACACCCAAGCTGCGGACCTGAGTTTTCAGGGGGAGTGTAACCCCATCCAGCACAGGTAGTATCCCTATTCCCTCATCTGCCTTCCGA